TTTTTTACTACATGTAGTTTATGTCTCTATGCTTTTATATTTCTAATAAAATGGTTCTTTGTGTACCTGTAGAGACCGGTAGAATTTGCCAAATCCCCGTCCATGTGCTGCTTCATGAAAAGGTTCTATAAATTCCACAATTCATTTTTTAAAGTCTCTTCTGAACAACAGAAAAAATGGTTCCTTCTTTGCTTTTCATTTATACATTAATCTAAAATCATCTGTCAGATTCCCTTACACGTTGTTCATACAGCCGCTCTCCTCTCAGTGATGAACCAGTAGTGATGCCAAATTGCAGAAGGTCTCCGTGAAGGGCCTTCCCCGCCGTTTATCTCTTGTGGGTATTGCATATCATCTGTGTGGAGCATATTAAAGTCCTCAAATACCCAAATCTTTGCCAGTGAAATTTCTCTGCCTGCTTTTTAGACAGATGTTTGTTTTTTAAACTTGTTGCTGGAAAACTAGTCTAAAAATGGAACCTGATAGTAATTTGATCCAATAGAAGGTGTAAGACGTGAGTCTTGTGCAAATATTTTTTAAAAGTTCAAGGCAGCGTGGTAGCTTTCCATTTGCTTTTTAACAGACATTTTCAGCAAACGGCATTCTCACACAGAACACAGTGACCTCTGTCCTGTTTCCCCAGACCTGACACCCTGTTACATGTGGTTGTGTAGTGAGAACTCAGCTCATTCCTCCTCCTCTCTCTGCACTGCTGAGTTGAGTTCCCTGGTCAGTGCTTGACCTCCCTTGCTTGATTCTGTGATCCAGAAAAGGAGAGTGGCAGGCCTCCCACAGGGATAGGTAAGGGTTTAGAGCCCAGGCTTGATGCAAGTTGTAAAGAATGATTACAGTGCCTCCAGCAGCAAAAGCCAGCCAGTTCAGGAAGTGCAGCTGAGTGCCCAGATTCAGTAGTGGCACTGCTGTACACATCTACCCACCCAGCTGCTGCACGTGGTTGCAAAGCTCTGTCGTCCATGCCAGCTCCACTTTTCTCGACATCCCTTCAGTCTCCACTGAGGAAGCAGCCAGCTCTGGTGTGTCAGCCCTGTGTGGATGGTTTCTTATCTGTGCCTACCGACACCTCCCACCACAGCCAGCTAGACTCCCTTGTGCCTCTGTGGGTACATGGGGGTGTGATCAAAAGGAGAGGTGAACGTATATAAATAAATTGCAGTACAAGACACCTTGCTGCTACCCCAATTCTGGAAGTCTTGTGTTTTTAGTTTGCTGATCTGGCTGGTGTTTTGTTTTGTGATAAGGTCTTGCTGTACAGTTCAGGCTAGCCTTGAATTTACTAGCCCATGCTGGCCTTGAATGTGTGTTGATTCTCCTCCCTCAGCCTCCTGCGTACTGGGGTTACATGCGTGTGCCACCGCACTCATCACGCTGTGTCTGTTTTGATGTCATGAATCAATTCAAAACATTTACTTTTCATAGTCATTTTGACTTTGGAGAGGAGCCAGAAGTTTTACGGTCCTAAATCTATAAGGTGGATGAGCACACCATGTTTTTATGAGCTGCCTTTGTTGGATAACACTCAGCATTCACCGTATCTTTGATCACTTAAAGACGACTAGCACTGCTTCAAAAAGTGACAAGGACAATGCAGGAAGCGTTTTTGGAGGGGGAATACTTCAGGGGCAATTAATGGTAATTTGTTTACTACTGTGTTTTTTTTAATTTTTATTTTTTTTTTTTAACTCTAATGCAGGCTGGCCTTGAATTAAAAGTCAATCCTCAGCCTTTTGAGTGCTGCGATTGCAGGCATGTGCCACCATGTCCAGCTGGTAACATGTTCCTTAAGTTTAAAGATTTACTCTATGTTTGGATCACCCCTTCTCAAAGACCTCAGCCTTCTGGGCTAATCCCAGCTCTGTGGCATCTAACTGGCCTTCTGTCTCCTGTGCTGATGTCCTCCTAAGTGGCTGATGCCTGGCCACGCTGGGACACCGTTTCAAGCATGGAGACTTCTCCCACTTAGTGAAACCAGTCAGCCTCCCATCCTTGCTTGTGCTCCTGTTTAACAGTGTTGGGGTTTTTCTTCGTCTGTTCTAAGTGATGCTCTCAGCCCATCAGCATCTCCATACTATCCTCCCCTTGTGGAGGAAGGTTTGTGGGAGGACTGTGGCCTTCACCCTGGCCCACACAGCATGCCCTAACATGGGTCGTCTGGAAGAGGATGTACACTGAACATGGAACAATAAAGGCAGAGACACGATCTTGACTGCATGGGTATTCAATTTTCAAAAGTTTAGTATGTGCAGTTTTATTTTCTGCTAAAATGGTCCAACATTTCGTGGTGGAATAGAGATATTAAAAATCTTAGAGGTTCCTTAGAATGCTAAATCTGAAAGCTTTTGGGAGATTGGCTGCAGGCACAAGGGACCATGTGTCCTGCCATGGGGAGGAGCTGGAGCTCAGACAGGGAAAACTAAAGTGTGTCCTTGTGTCTCTAGGAGAGCGTGGGGAAACATGGAGGGAGGCCGGAGTGCAGGGGCCTGTAGCACGTCTGTCACTGGAGATGAAGAGCCAGGGAGATCCTCTAAAGTGTACTTTCCCAACTGACTCTAAAGTTTTGTTTTTGCTCTTTCAAAATCCTTGACAGTACATACTCAGGACCTTGGGCTTGCCAGACAGGCACCTATGCCCCTGAGCCATATCCTGGCTTATGTACTCATTCCAGTGCCACCCCAGTAAGAAACAAATTGCCACATTCTTTGTTTACCTCCACGAGCCCATTTGTGTTCAACACAGCAAGTCCCTGACTTCTGAGTGCATTCCCTTCTGGGAGCATATTCCTAAATTGGATTTGTTTGTAGTCTGCACAGGGAGTCTTCTGTAGTCCACCTGTGCCTCATACCATAAGCCTGTGAAAGTTCGCAACTTGAGTGTTCTTGCTTGCTGTAGTGTTTCTGTTCTTCAAGTGATAAGCAAAATCGGGTTATGTCCCTAGGTCCTCATTCTTGTGTTGTATCCTTATTGAGATACTTAATACCATTTCAGCACACCTAGTAGTTGACACTGGAAAGTCTGGCATGATTTGGGGTGAACTTTGTGAGGTAACAAATAATTATCCCTCTTCCCCCTTTTATGGCCAAAGGAGCCACCAGAGCCCTAAAAATGGACAAGATCCATTGGGGGGTTAGACGTCCAGCCCTGCCAAAGGCATTACCAGGTATAGCCTTGCATCACACTAATGAGTATTTGTTGTGTTCTGGTCTTTGAAAGGAAAACAAAATGAGGACGAATATTCTCACATTTGATTTGAATGAACATAATTAAAATGTGAAATGCAACTGAGTTTTCTAAGAAATCAATCACTTTAATTGGAAAGATGGCTCCTTCCCTCTCTGTCCATAATTGGGCTCTTGGTAATTTAAAAATTGGAATCCCTGACAGCCTGTAATAAATTGGCTCCTTTTGGGCTAAAGCAGGTAACAAGTTCTAATTACCTCTGGATTATTCCGCAGTGAATGGGTAATCTTGATCAAAGAGATACTGGGAAAGAAAAGCTAGCAATGAGCAAAGGTTTATTGAATTTTTTAAAAGAAGCTAACGAATAAAATATTTTGATATGACAGAAACAAGAGCTTGCATATTTTAAACCCTAGAAATGTAAATTGGATTTTCTAAGGAGATAGTTGCTATGTTAGAAAAACTATACACAGAAATTCTTTAGGTTACCAGCCCCGCTTACTCATTAGAGCACAGGATTATTGACAGTCTTGGAACCACTTGGGGAAGAATGGAATTTGTACTTTGAGTTTTTAAACAAATAAGTAACTTGCAGTAAGTTTAAGGAAGCTTAAAATGTTTATTCAAGTGAATAAGTTCATAGGCATATGGTCAGATTAATGAATTTGCTTACCTAGCTCTGTTGCTGTCCAATACATGTTGCCTAAGATGAGGAGAAGGTTGGGTTTGGGTTGGTGTACTGGGATATGTTTATCTAGAACTGTGTGTTCATAGAAATATAGTGTTTAAGTATGCACTTTACCTAAATCAGCTGACATTCCTTCGTTCCATCTTTCCTGGTGATAGAACAAGAAAATAGCTTTTTTTTTTAAATACTGGGAATTGAACTCACAACCTCATACTTCCCAGGCTGGTACTGTGCTGCTGAGTTTTATCCCCAGCCCCCAAATAGCTTTTTGTAGCTGTTTTCTTTCTTCTTCTTCTTCTTCTTCTTCTTCTTCTTCTTCTTCTTCTTCTTCTTCTTCTTCTTCTTCTTCTTCTTCTTCTTCTTCTTCTTC